CCCCACGCGCGCGGCGCCCCCACACCACCCTCTCCACTCGCGCTCCGCCCCTCCTCCCCAACCACGCCCGCCCCCAACCCCAACCCACGGCCGCCGACAAGCAGCGCCCGCATCCCCGCAGCGGCGGCGGCGGCGGCACCTGGCGCGCTCCGCGGCCTGCCGCGCCGCGGCCTCCGCGGCCTCCGCCTCCCGCGCCGCCGCCGCCCGCGCCGCCTCCCGCTGCTGGTCAGCTTCCAGGCTGCGCTGGTACTCCGCGTCCTGCTCCTCACGCAGCTGCCGGTCGGTTTCCTGCGGGACAGGGCGGGGGTGGGCCGGGCCGGGCGGGTGGAGGGAGAGCCAGAGGGGTGGGCAGGGCTGTCGAGAGGGTGGGGAGGAGGGCAGGCCTTGGGCTGCCGCAGACATCCACACACGGGCGCACGCGCAGCGCCCCGCCGCCGCCGCCGCCCGAAACCCGCCCCTGCCCACCCCAGCTCGCCCACAGCCGCACACGCGGCCGCCGCCCTCACCCCCCCCCTGCGCTCACCCGCTGCTGCCGCTCCGCCTGCTCCTGCCAGAGCAGGGCGCCGTGGTCGGCCAGGCCCGCCTGCAGCACCTCCTGCAGCTGAGCTGGCGCCATGCGGCCCTCCACGCACGTGATCAGCCGTGTCCTGCGGGCGGGCGGGCAAGCGCATGCACGGCAGGTGCCAGGTGGCAGGAGAAGGCACGATGGGGGGCGCCGCCAGCGCATGCACTCAAGGGATTATGCTGTGCTGCGCCATGCTGCGCCATGCTGCGCCATGCCGTGCCATGCTGAGCTGGCGCCCACCTGGGCCCCGAGAAGGCCAGCAGCGCGACGTAAGGGTAGCCCGCCACACGCAGGCTGGAGGCCAGCCTGCATGGCGGAGGCAGCGGCGGCGGGCGGCGGCGGCGCCAGGTCAGCGGCGCAGCGCCTCAGCTTATGAATGCAAAGAAGGAAGGGCCGGGCCCCAGCCGCGACCCTCCAGAACAGCCGCCGCCTATCGCCCGGCGGCGCGCGGCGCCAGCGGCGGCTTGCCGTGTGCAGCGCCGGCCGCATGCGGCGCGCGGCGGCTGCGCAGGCGCTGGAAGGCTTGAGGCGCTGCGGGCGTGCGCACCTGAAGGCGTCGGAGCGGCGCAGGTCGCCGCCCCAGCACAGGAAGTGTTGGTTGACGTAGGCGACCAGCTCGGGGGCGCAGAGGGTGTCGTGGCAGTACGCATCGGTGTCCTGCAGCAGTACCAGGCAGTACCAGGCGGTCGATGTGCCACCAGCCCTGAACCCCACCCTAGCTGGCCGCCCCCTCAAGCCTGTGCGCCGCACACTTGCGCAACAGCCGGCTGGGCCGGCCTGCTGCCCGCTCGGCGGACCTCCTCGCAACCGCGCACCCCTTGGGAAGCTGCCCGTACCGCCGCACAGAATACGCACCTGGTGCAGCGGGGAGTGCAGGTAGGCCAGTAGGAACTTGCCCTCCTGGTGCGCCCGGCTGGCGGCCTCGCCCCACCCACACTCCTGCCAGCGCGGCCGTACATCGCCGTACCGCTCTGCAGGTACCGCAGGCACCGCAGCGCCGCACGCCAGGGGGCAGGCGGCGACTCAGCAGCGCCAGTTGCAGCGCAGCCGGCTGGACAGGAGCTGCTGCCGAGCGGGGCACGAGGGGCGGTGCTGCCGCCGGCCGCCACCCACCCACCGCCCCGGCCGCTGCAGCAGCCCACCCACCTGCAAACTGCCGCACAAACTCGGCGGCGGCGGCGGCCGGCGCCACCTCTGCGCCCGCCGAGGCCAGCGCCCGGCCGGCGCGCCCCAGGGCGGCAGACAACCGCCGCGGCAGCACGCGGCGCGCCACTGCGCCCCCCAGCCTCGCCCCAAAGCCCAGCGCGCGCACCAGGAGCCGCACCCCGCCGCCCACCACCACCAGCGGCGCCCCCAGCACCGCGTTCAGCAGCTGCAGCGGCGGCGGCAGCGCGCCGCCGCCGGGGTTGTAGGCGTCGACGGCGGCACCACCGGCGGGAGGCGCAGCGCCGCGGCGCCGCACGCCGGTGCTGCCGGCGGGCGCCTGCGGCCGGGGCGGCACGTCTGGGGGATGGGTCGCCCGCTGCGCGCCGCCCGCCGATTGCTCTGCAGCCCAGGCAGGTCAAGCAAAGGGGCGAATCAGCACTGACCCGCCCCGCCAGCTGGTTTGAAGCGCACCCCAACGGCAGGAAACAATCGTGTGCGGCACGCTGCCCCGCGCTTGCCAGCAGGCCCTCAGCAAGCCATTCTTCTTTCTGCTTTCCCTCCCCCTCCTCCTCCTCCGTTGACTGCCTTTGCCGCTCTGCTGCAGCCCAGCAGCCAGGCAGCCCAGCCTACCCACCGTGAAACATGGACAGGGCTCGCTCGTAGTTGCCGCCAGAGGCCTCTAGAAAGAACTGGGCCTGGTCAAAGGAGGCGTGGGTGGCCTCCATGAAGCGAGCCAGCTCCTGGTCGTCCACATCCATGGCTGGGGCGGGCTCAGAGCCGGCTGTTGAGCAGGGAGGGGCTGCGGGGCGGGAGCGGCGGCGGCGGCGGCGGAGGTGGGCGGGCGCGGGTGGGGCGGCGGAGGCCGTAGCGCTCTCTGGGCGGCGAGCCGTGGAGCAGACTAGGCGGAGCATTGCAGAGCGCGGGGAGCCCGGGTTGCGCTGGAAGCAGCACTGCAGAGGACATGGAGAACTCCGAGCAGCCCCGCGGGAAAAGAGCCTGGAGCAGTGTTTGGCAGCCTCACCTATTGCTTGGCAGCCACCAGCACGCTCGCCAGCGGCAAGACGGCGCGAGCAAGGTGAGCGGCACCCTCAAACGCTGGCCAGCGTAGCTCTCTCCAGCCACCGAATACCTGAAACAGTAACGTCACCGCCGATTGGCAGGTTTTGGGGGACTTATGGCCGGCCGGGCATCCCCGGTGGCGGCACGGCGGGAGCGCTTTGTTCAGGCACGTCGCCGCCGCCGCCTTCCTCCTGGCCACCCTGTGGAGCCCACATAATTTGAAAAACGTTCTATCGGTCCATATTTACAACATCTCATACACGGCACTTTTGGCTGGACTGTTGGGAACACCATTGCGAACACGACGTGGCCGTGGTGGTCGCTTTAAGGCGTGACTCGCCCATGCCAGGGCAAGGCGGCACGAACAATGTGGGAAGGCAGGAGCCATGCACAACCACACACCATTCACATCCCTCACCAGTCAGGGAATGTGCACTTCTCAGTGAGAGGAGCGAGCCCGGGCTGGCGGGAGCGGTGGGCACGGTGCCGGGCGGCACCGTCACAGTCCCAGGCCGCGCCCTCTCACCGGTTTCCGCTCCTACCCAGCACTTTCTGAGTTTACAGGCATGCGTCGGCTGCCCAAATAAGTCGCAGTACGGCCAGAGTTGGGTGCCATCAACCGAGGCCAGGTGGCTGCCACCTGCGCATGGCCGAGGGGCCCCTCCTGAGCAGGCCGTTCTCGGCTCCGACGTGCGAACCGCATTCCGTTCCATCTGCCAGTGCAAGGGCAGCGGCGAGCAAGGAGGAGGGCGCTGAGCCCGGTGAGCCCATGTTCTGACAAGAACAGGTCGCTTGCGCGATCGGAGCAGCTCCAAAGGACGTATACATGCGCTCTGGCTGAGTGCCGCACGGGTACGCGGGCCTTTTGGAGGGCTTGCCGGTGGGGCGCAACTCCCGCCTGAAGCCCTTGCACGCCGGCCGGGCGCGCAGCGCAGGCCCGTTGCTCTGCTGTTCACGATGCGAACAATGCCTTGCGGCCCCGCCAGCCGATCGGTGGTCCCCATTTTGGCAACGTCGTCCGCAGCTACCCCTCTCCCCCGCTTGCAGGCGGCATGCGCAGCCAGCAACATGAAACAGAGCCTGGAGGAGGGCGCCCGGGCCCCAGTTCGGGCAGCAGCGGCCCAGCGGCAGGCGCTGCCGTCGCCGCCGCCAACCCGCCCGCCGCGTCCTCGCCGCGGGCGGCGTCAGCGCCCTCTGGCGCCGACCTGCGTGCCACGGCTCCCCAGGCCCTCGCTGCGGTCAGAGGCAGCGTGGACGGGCAGGTGAGGCATGCCGGGCGTGTCCCACTGGCGGCTGGCGGCGGTTGGGCAGAGGCCGCACCGGAGGAGGCTCCCCGTCTCCGGCCGCACCTGCGGCAGCCCAGCTGCAGCATCCCTTGCCCACAGCACAGCCCGGCGGCGCCGCCCGACGTACCTTGCCCATCGTGTGTTGCCGTGCAGGGCGCGGCGGCAACCGCGCAGCAGCCGCAGCCGCGGGGCGAGGCGGCGCCTGGTGCGGCGGTGCAGCAGCCGCGGCCGCCTGCGGGCACAGCCACCGCCGCCAGCAGCGACCGCACAGAGTCTGTGGGTGACGTGGCATGCCAGCGGGGCGCCGTGGCGGCCGCAGCGGGGCCGCCGCTGCCGCAGGCACAGCAGCAGGGTGGCCACAGCAGCCTAATGCAGGAGCTGCAGGAGGCCATCCACAATTCCCTGCAAGGCGTCTGGCCGCCAGCTGTGCGCACCAGCCAGGCCCAGGGCGGCGCCGCCGGCGCTGGGCAGTGCCGAGCGCGGCAGCAGGAGCAGGGCGCGCCGGCTGCGCCGCCGCCGTCTGGCAGAGAGCAGGCGGCAGAGCAGCCGCCGCCGCCGCCGCCGCAGCAGCAGCAGCAGCCGGTGGCGGGAGCGGCGCCGGCGGCAGCCCCGGCTGACAGCGACGGTCCCCTGATGCTGTTCCATCATTGGGCGGGCGTGTCAAGCATCACAGGCATGCAGGGCGAGGATGCGGAGCCGGCAGCAGAGGAGGCAGCGGCCGGGGAGCGGCCCGGCCAGGCGCGGCACGCCCCCCCGCCCTCCCCTCGGCAGCAGCCGCAGCAGCAGCAGCGGCCGCAGGCAGCGGCAGCCCTGGCGGGGAGCCCCCTGGCGGCGCAGCAGCTGCAGGCGGGGCCGGCCACCCTGGCGCAGGGCTGCAGCCCAGCGCTGGGGCAGCTGGGCGCGGCAGGCGTGGCGTCGCCCACGATTATGAGGTGAGGCTGCGGAGCAGCTGCTGCGCCCGCTCCCCTGCAGCCACGAGACTTTCTTCCTCCTTCCCTTCCCTGATGGGGAGGGACAGAGGGCGTACCGGCGCCCGCTCCTGCCGGCACGGCGCTGCCTCCCTGCATGCTGCCACCCCTCCACCCCTGGCGCCCGCCTGCCGCCCATGCCCTTCACACACGCTGCGCTGTGCCTGCTTTTCCTGCGTGCCTGCCTGGCTGCAGGGGCGGCAGCTACGCCGAGCTGGGCGCCGCCCTCCCTGCGCTGCCTGCCGGATACTATGCCATCCCCGCCCCCGGCAGGCAGGGCTTCTGGCTCGCCCCCGCGGCGGCTTTTCCCAGGTGCGGCCTGCCTCGCTGCATGGCGGCATGCGCGGTGCATGGTGCTGCGCACCGGGGTGCGCCTGCGGGCTGGCGGCGGCGGTGGTTGCAGGGCGAGAGAGCTGGCGCGAGCGGGGTGCGTGCGCCTGCCGCCGCTGCCGCTGCTGCCGGTTGCCCACCTGGCGCCTCGCTCTGCGCCCTCCCTGTGCTCCCCTGCAGCCCCGTCCGGCCACAGATGGTGCCGCTTCCGGTGCCGGTGCTACCGGGCGGCACGCCGCGGGCCGCGGCCACGCCGCTGCCGGTGCCGCTGCCAGGCGTCACACCCGCTCAGGCGCAGCCGGCGGCGGCCGCTGGCAGCACGCCACGCGTGCCGGGCCTGCCGGGCCTGCCCCCCGTCCTAGCCAGCCCCGAGGTGTATGGCCGGCAGCCAGAGGCAGGCAGCTATCAGCCGCTGCCGCCCCGCCAGTTCCCGGCCTCCCTGGGGGCGGCGGCGGCGGCGGCGCGGCCGGCCGCACGCTACCTGCCCGCCGTCGCCTACCCGCCGCCGCAGCCGTGGCACGGCTCCGTGCAGGCGCTGGCGCGGCCGGCGGCGGGGCACGCGCAGCCCTACCAACACCTGCAGCAGCATGCAGGGCAGCCGATGGCGGCGCACCTGGCGGTGGGCCCGGCACTGACTGAAGTGTCTGTGGCGGCAGCGCAGCAGCGGGAGGAGCAGCCGCAGGAGCCGCAGGCAGAGGGGGAGGAGGCGGAGGAGGAGGCGGAGGCGGCAGCAGAGGAGGAGGAGGAGGGACGGCGGCAGCAGAGGGACGCAGCGGCGGCGCAGGCCCCGGCAGCAGCCCCGGCAGCAGCGGAGGAGGAGGAGGAGGAGGAGGCGCGGGAGCAGGCCCCGCCTCCACCACCGCCTCCCCCACCACCGCCGCCGGCGGTCAACACTGCAGCGGCGCCCCAGCAGCCTGCCGCGGCAGCAGCAGCAGCAGCAGCAGCGCCGCCGCTGGCCGGTGCGGCGGCTGGCAGCGGGCCCGCAGCCGGCAGCGGCAGCGGCCGCGCCGGCGGCACCGGCGGTCGTGTCGGCGGCAGCGGGGGTCGCACCGGCGGCAGCGGCGGGCGCGCCGGCGGCAGCAGCGGCCGCAGCGGGGGCCGCACGGGCGGCACGGGCGGCAGCAGCGGGCGCACCGTGGGCCAGTCCACGCCCACGCAGCTGTCGCTGCCGGTACTGCCACCTGGGCTGTACCTGGGCATGGTACCGCAGGGCTGCGCCTCTCCCGTGGGCAGCCCCAGCCACCTGCAGCTCATGCAGCAGCAGCAGCTGCAGCTGGAGCAGGCCCACCAGCAGGAGCAGCTGCTGCTGCAGCACAAGCAGCAGATGGAGCTGCTGAGGCAGCGGCAGGCGCAGGAGGCCGCCGCCGCCGCCGCAGCAGCAGCCGAGGCCGCCGAGGCAGCGCAGGCTCAGCAGCACGCGCTGGCAGGGCCTGAGGAGGAGGCTGCTGCCGGCATGCGTCCCGCGGCGGCGGGGCAGGGCGCGGGGCAGGGGCAGGGCGGCCACGGCGGCGGCCTGTCGGCGGTCTTTGGCGCCGCCCCCCAGTTCAGCGATTCCCAGCTGTTTGCCGGACTCTCCAACATGACTTTGCCCACCTTTGTGCACCAGCATGGCGACGACCTGCTGCGCCACGTTGTGGGCGAGGTGGTGCAGCCGCCGCACCGGCGGCTGCCTGCCACTGCGGCTGCAGAGGAGGAGGAGGAGGGGGAGGGCGCGGGCCCACGGCAAGCGTTGAAGCTGGCAGGGGCGCGGCGGGGGCCGGCGGCGCAGCGGTGGGGCGCCGACGGCGGCGGCGGCGGCTCCCTGTGCTCTGGCGGCCACCTGCTGCCTGCACGGCAGCTGGGAGAGGGGGACAGCCCGCGGCTGCTGCAGGCGGCGGAGGCTCTGCGGCGGGACGGCGGCCAGCTGCAGCGTGAGGAGGAGGAGGAGGAGGAGGAGGAGGGGCGGTGTGGCGGCGAGGGGTCTGATGACGATGCCTCGGGGCCGCGCCGCGCCGCCCAGCTCGCAGCAGCGCAGCGGATTCAGCAGCAGCAGCAGCGGCAGCAGGCGCCCGCCGCCCCGGGGAGCGGCAGCCAGGCGGCGCAGCAGGCGGGCGGCGGCGGCGCGGCGGGGCCGCGGCGGCAGCAGGGGTCGATGGCGCCGCCGCCGCCGCGGCCGCCGCCGCCGCTGCCGGACCGCCAGCGGCAGCAGCTGTACAAGGCGAGCTCTGTGGCGGGACGGTGGGCTCAGAAGGCGGTGAGGGCAGACTGGGCTGACATCCAGCGGCGCAAGCACTTTGAGCAGGCGGCGGCGGAGGAGGAGGTGCGGCGGGCGGCGGCGGCGGCCGCGTTCGCCGCGCGTTCGCCGCCCCGCGCCGCGCACCGCGCCGTGCCGGCGGGAGCTCCCCGCCGCATGGCCCCGGGCTGGGCCGCGGAAGCTGCCCCACCCTCCCGCAGCAGCAGCAGCGGCAGTGATGAGGATGATGATGATGAGGAGGAGCAAAGCGTGAGCGAGTGGCATCTAGAGGATGAGCCTCCCCGGCGCCAGCAGCGCCGCTGGAACCGGCGGCCTGCGGTGCTGCAGGCCGCGCAGTCGCCGGCGGTGGCGCAGCTGGCGGCGCGGGCCGAGGCGGCGGCGGCGGGGGCTTTGGCAGGGCACAAGCTGCAGAAGCTGCGTGGCAGGCCGCCCACCAAGGACCCAGCAGCTACCGAGGCCTGGTGGCGGCACCAGGCCGCTGTGGAGGCAGCAGCAGCGGCCGAGCGGCTGCGCAGGCAAGCGGCGTCGCCGCGGCAGGCGCGGCAGCTGGCGCCCCCCGCGGCGCGCCGCCGCAGGCAGGACGACGCAGCGCCGCCGCCCCCGGCGGAGCGCCCCTCTTCGGCTGCCCGGGCTGCCGTGCAGCAGCAGCAGCAAGTCGCAGCGCCGCAGCAGCAGCTCCGGCAGCAGCAGGCCGCGGCGCAACAGCAGCAGCAGCAGGCGGCGGCAGCGGCGCCGGGAGGGGAGGCGCCCGCGCTGCGCCGCAGCAGCCGCCCCACCAAGGGCGTCAACCCTCGCCTGGTCAGCCCGGATGAGCAGCTGGAGCTCTGGTTGCTCGCCCCTCGGCGGCAGCAGCAGCGCAGCGGCTCGGAGGCGGGAGAGGAGGAGGTGGTGGTGGAGGACGAGGAGGAGGAGAGGGGACAAGACAGCAGCGACGAGGCACTGAGTGTGGGAGAGCTGAGCGGGTCAGAGGCGGAGGAGGCTGCGGCTGCTGCTGCTGCGGTGGCTGCGGGGCCCCGCCCGCAGCTCGCCGCGCCGCTGCTGTGGCCCGCGGCGTGCGACCGGCCGCGGCGGCCGCTGCTGCTGGCGCCGCGCCGGCGGTCGGAGTATCACCAGGAGTTGTCGGTTCTGCTGCGGCCGCACAGCTTGACGAGCGGGCCGCCGCCGCTGCAGCCGGCGCCCAGCCACACGCTCTCCGAGGTGGAGCAGCGGGTGGGAGAAGAGGAGGGGGAGGAGGCGGAGCAGCCTGCGGCGAGCGACGAGGCGGGCGCCGGCCAGGAGGCGCCGGCAGGAGGAGGAGGAGGAGGGGGTGCAGCAGCGGCGGGAGGAGCGGCGGCGGGAGGAGGAGGAGGAGGGAGCTGAGGAGGTACCCGCCCGCTGCTCGCCGCTCCCCGCCTGGGAGGGGCGGCGGCAGCAGCCCATCCGCCGCCGCCCGCGCTCGCCGTTTGCCGGGGCGCGCGGCGCGGCGCAGGCGCAGGCGCAGGCGCAGGCCCAGGCTCAGCTGCAGGAGCAGCAGGAGGCTGCCGCCGTGGCATCGGAAGAGGAGGAAGAGGAGGAGGACGATGTCGATGGCGGCGCCCCAGCCGACCCTGCGCTGCTGGCAGATCTCAAGGCGGCCGCCGCGCGCGTGGCGGCAGAGGCATTTGGAGCGCCGGCGCCAGCACCTGCACCTGCGCCCGCTGCCGTCATCCGGAATGCGTTGGAGCAGCCCCCTGCTCGGTGAGCGGATGCATCAAATGATATGGCGACCGGCGGGGTCCGGGCTTGCTCCGGCCATGTCTGCGTGCAGCTTCCTGCTGCCGACGATGGTGCCGGCTCCAGGCTAGCAGGCCGTGTGTGCAAACGGCTGACATGCCTGG